CTCTGTGGATCCCTGGTTCCCTTGACCCTCAGTTTCCTCTAGTCATCCTCTTTGTGCTCTCCTTCCTGCCAAGCTGTGTATTTGGGTGATGTTGTACAGACTGGCGGTCACAGCTTTGTGTGCTGCCAATAACCTATTCCTCTCACACACTTGGTGCCCATTTGAATTCAGTAGTCACTTAAGAGTCAAAAAGTAGAGCTGTAGCCCAGAGAAGAGACTGGGAGTGGGGACTGCTCTGCCCTTGCTGCAGAAAGGAAGGAGAATAGCCCCTTTTCCACACAAAACTCCATATGGCCAGTGTCTGGCCCGCCAATTGGCTGGGAGCCCTGCCAGGAAAACTCCTGACCAGGATTACCTTCATGTTAGCACCAGAAACACTGCCACGTACTGCACAAAAGCATTTCCCTAGGCGTGGCAAAGCTTTGAACAAACCTCTGAATCACATTTTTTTCTATGAAATCAAGGGCCATATTAATCATTGAGACAGGTTCTTGGTACTAAAAGCAGTTTATGCTCCTTGCTAAATTGCCTCCTTGTGTTCCAGCAATGATTGATTTGGTCCTATAGGGAGAAGTATTGGGAAGGTTGAAATCTTTTCACCACATTTTGGCTAGAATTTTCTAATAGCACTGCTTGCAGAGATTGGAAAAAATAAGTTATTTCAAAAGCATTTTTAAGTTTGCATTGCTTTGATCCCCTTCAAAAAGAATAATCTTTTTTCCATTCTCTCATGTGAAATGGGAAACTCTGCGCAGACATGTCACAGAAGAAGGCACAAGCTATCTTACCGACCCCAAACTCCTCCTGTCTCTCCATGCTCCCGTGGTGGCCCCCCTGCCGCCGTGGGTTGCTCCCTGCAGAGGTGCGTGCGGGGTGCAGGCGGATTGGCTTTCTAACACCCGAGTAATCCCGATGGCTCATTCATCTTCCTCTGCAGGAATGCCAGCCCAGGGAAGCTTGCGGGTGGGTAGCGGGCAGCTGCAGCTGGTGCAGCTCCCCGGGGAGCACCTGCACCTGGAGCAGCTCCTTTCGCAGGAGCAGGAGGAGCCCCGCGGGCTCCCTGGCCGGCAGCTCGGCTCGCTGCCCTGCTCGGGAGCCGCTCCAGGGGAAGCACAGCACTCACCCGTTTGACGAGGAAGCCCTCCTTCAGCACTCCAGCTTCTTCCTCCATCGTGGCCGGCAGGGAATAGAGCAGAGGACCGGCGGGGATTTGCTTGGGCCTTGGCGGCTTTTCCTTTTGCCCTTGTTTTTTTTAGGAAGGTTGTTTTTTCTTTGTTCCCTTCTTCGGCGTTGCGGCTTTTTGCTTCCCTTTTTTTTTTTACCTCCCTCCCTACCTGTGAGACATTAGTTAAACAGCGAGCTGGCTCTGATGTATTACCTGCCCTCGGGGAAGTAAAACAAAGGGATGTCTAAAAAGGATCTTGAAAGAATTTCACAGAATTTAGTAAAGCAAAAAACCACTACCAAGCGAGCTGGCCAATAAAAGCAGCTAGAAAATGACAAATCAGTTATTACATGGGAGAGGGAAGCAGAATCTTAAAACCACATTGCTCAAAACTTCAGACTAAACAACTACCACTTAAAATTTCTCATCTAACAAACCCATCTCTCAGGAATTCTACAGATCAGCATAAATTGTGAGTGTAACATATAGGATATTATGATTACAAGACTTCTACAAATCTTACAGTAACTTTTCACTAATCTTTTTTTTCCCCCAAAGAAGCTCCAAAGCACCTAAGAATCCACTCTACTTTCAGTGACCATTTGGTATATAAACCAAGATTCTCAACCTAATATCCTAAATCTCTACATAAGTAGGCTTTTAGTAAAGCAGCCTGATCCTTGAACACTGCAGTGACCTCTTGTACCTCCTGAATGCCTTGAAACAGAGTGCCTTTTGTGTCTGAATACAATCTTAGATGTTTATTTTATTTTTGTAGACTTTAACCACCACGACAAATCTGTTTAATATGAAGTAATATTTCAGAGAGTGTTGCTGTTCAGAAATAACAGCCTTTGCTGTACTGTCAGCATTCCACAACTCTCACTAAAATGAAGGTGATATATATGGGCAGAGCTATGAGCTGTGATAAGAAATACAAGGTAGAGTAGAGCAAATAAACAAAAGCACTCGTTGCTATGTGGAGTCCAGAGGTCAGTAAGACAAAGTGACTCCAATATCAAGGGGCACACTTTCATGCACCAAGGAAAAGGAACAAACAATTTCTTTATACATTTTTATATCTTTTGGCTAGGGATAGCAAGACACTGAAGAATTGAAACCAATATTGTGCTGGAGATAAGCCAAAGAAGAGTCCTGCAGAGGCCATGAGACTACAGTGGGTGACTAAACACTGCTGGAAGTTAGAAAAGTTGATTCTGTATAAAGAGAAAACATGCTGGCTGAGATTTCAAAAGCAGAAGTTACCTATGTAGTTCCTACTGTACACCTTTTGCCTCTTGGGAAAAGGCAGGCAGCTACCAGGCAACAGGCTCAGTAAGTCATAGCCCAGTATGTTTGTTCCTCAGTCCACCTAAAGTAAGTACAGCAACAGAACACTTGGAAAAGTACTTTTTGCTGCTGGTATGTAATATTTTCAGAGTTATCAATGGAAATTTTTGTAATTTAAAAAAAATATAATTATGGCATTAAATAAAGCAGAAATTAACCAAATTTTTTTGTTAATTGAAAAAATAACCATTGAATAACAAGAATTTCACAATTTGAAAAGATTGCCATCTCTATATATATATACACACACATATATATTTGTAGGTAAAAGCTGTATTCAGAAGCAGAATCTTTGAAAAAAAAAAACCCTGATAAAGCCAGCAGGAAAAAAAATCAGCTCACCATGTTTGGTACATCAGAATTACACTGGAGGGAAAAAAAAAAAAAAGAAAACTCGAGTCCAGGTTCACAAGAGAGATTACTGCTGCATGTATTTCACGGACATGCACTCTTTATATAACCAGCTTCAGGAATACAGTGTTCCACCGTTTGGTATTTGAGGTTTGACTTCACATTGTTCAGCTTGTTACTGCAGGCAATTTATTCAAGGTGCTATTTCATGCTAGGGAGGACAGGTAGAAGCTTGCAGGGGGCTCTTGCTCAGACAGTGATCTCAGAATTGCTCCATAAGCAGTCCTCACTGAAGATCTGACAAGCTCCTTTTCTCCAGCATGCAGACCACCCACAACCCTGCAGACAGATCTTGGCAAAATTACCTTAAGCAACAAAGAATTCTTTTGTCAAACTGCCGGTGAAAGGCGAAGCAAACCTTGCTTCAGCTGGTCATTAAATAACAGGTTTTGTATCAACTACTTCTTATATAGAGCCTTCACTTCCTTCAGTACTTTGACTCATAGTATTTCTTCAATACTTTGGATATTTATGACAGACACACCCCTTTCTCCCTGTCTCATTCTGTAGTTAATCAAATTTGAAAAACAGCCCCTGTATTGCTCCCTGAGGCTGAGTAAACACGGATCTTTCAGGGTCAGGTAGTATAAAATGAGTCAGTAGATCTGAGCTGTCCTATTCATGCATGGGCTGGGAATGCAAGTTCTGGCATTGAACTCTTCCGGTGGAAAAGGACATGCTTTGATCTGTATAAACCTAGGGAGCCTGACACCAAATCTTCTGTGGGCCTTAAAACTCTCTGAAGAGAAGAGTACCCATTTCCTCCGATCCATTTGAGAGTGCTTTCCACAACAGTGTAGTATTATAACAAAAAACAGAACAGTTGAGTACTTGACATTTTCTTGCCTTCAAAGTGACTCCCAAATTCTTTATATGCTGTAGAATTTGGAATGGGATGGACAGAAAGAGCTGCCTTCAAGACCACAGGATGCTACTCAGGGATACAGGGGAGGGAGGAGCAGCCTCCACAGCTCTGAGTGCAGTCTGTGCTGTTGCAGCTGGCAGACCCTGCTGGTACCTCCCACTCAGTCCTTCAAGAAGTCTCACACAGCTCATTCAGGGAACCTGCCCAAAGGAAAACCCCATCCCATGCTCTGCCATGGTCAGCGTGTATCATGATGTCATACACAGCACTGGGGCATTACAGACACCAGGGTTTTCAAAGCAGCTTCTTAGGACTTTGCCATCCAGGGCAGCACTCCCAAATTAGTACCTATAGTGGATTAGGGATGAATAAAGCATGATGATAATTTCTAGATAGAAGTGAAAGACAACAAGCATTCAATAGTATTGACATAACAGCAATTTAAAAATTAACTGCAGAAAGGTGGAAGTATTTGGAAACAGTTGTTTCACTGTCTACACTCAAAAATCAAAGTGCAGATTCTGCTATGAAGAACAACACATCAGCTCCACTGCATCTAAAGAAAAAACAAGTAGGCCAAAATTAGAGACAAAACAGCAAGGATTTTCACTGTATTAAAAACCAGACAAACCACAACAGCAGGGCACCCCTCTTTTAGAAAACAGTTTTCCCTCATTAGAAAAAGGATACTGGTCTGTGTGCTATCACACTCTGTGCCTGACCTGAGCCAGTATACCCTTGTTTGGATTTGGATTTTTTTAAGTAAAACTGTTTCCAAGCTGTCAATCTTAGAAAATCAGTTTGGGGTAGGAAAGTCAAACTGAGATCCTTACAGTGAACACATCAGGCCGAGCCCTCTCCACAGGTATTCCTGCCCCCTTCCCTTCCACTGACTATGTTAAGTGTAAGTGGAGATGTTGGCCTTGTTATTAGTTGTGCAAACAGCACAGTAGCTAATGAACAGCAGGAATGTGCTGCCCAGATTTAGAAACTCTGTTAACAGAGACATTCACAAAACCCCCTTACTTCATAAGCAAAGGCAGTTTTACAAATGGAAAAGAGCCAGGCTGAGACACAAGGCATCAGCTCAGCACTCCTAAAGATCTTTAAGTAGTGGAGTACAGCAAGTCCCCAATACTCCCTCACTAACAGACCTCCAAAACATGCATCTTATACCTCCTCCTTCCCATTTCTACAATGCATGAGAAGGATACATCACATTGTCTTGTGTGCTTTATTTGTTCTTGCTTGAAATAGGCTTAAGAGAACAAACCCAGGGAGAGCCTGGGTTTTTTTCTGCAGGATGACAAATGATTGGCATGTATTTATCTGAACCTGCTTTGCTATCATCCTCACCATCTTCCTAATTTTTTTCAGGCACCCAGAACCGACTCAGACTTTTACCCACCAGCACATTCCACCTCTGATTAGAAATGTTCTGGTAGCTACTGCAGAAATTTAACAAACTTCTAAGTTACTGACAGAAACAATGCTCACCGATTAACATACCAAAACAGCTCTCACATATTACACTAATTTTAATCCCTTCAGGACAGAGTTATTATGGCATGGAGACCACATGGTGGCAGAGTTTTAAGATACTTTGTTCTTTACTCCAAGTACCCACCTATTGTGTTTAACAGAAGTCAAATCACTATTTTAGTGAATGGGCACAGCTGATGAAAAGACAATTTGAGAAAACTATTAAAAATATGTTTTTCTTCATTTTGCAAATTTGCACATTCAAGTATTTTCCAACAATCTGTAAAGACTGGAAGTTATTTACCTTTCTTGGCTTTGCATTACTATCAGAGTTGGGTATACATGAACTTTTCTGACACTCCAGCATGGACAAGCAACACATTGCATAAGTATGCCCTTTTAGAATGCCTTTTGTGGCAACACCATGTAGCAAGTAGATAGTTTGTACTAGTCATAAGAATGACTAGTTAAGGCTCAAAGCCTCATTCTTCATGCATTTTCCCTCTAGCGTAACAAAGTATTAAAAAAAAAACCAGGCAGTACAGGACATGACAATGACAAAAAAACACAACCCAACATATTTAGAAATCTAGCAAGCTGGAAAGGTTACTTAAAAAGCACAACTCTTTCCCCTCAATTCCCACTAACAAGGAAAACAGGAATTATTTTTTTTAAATTCCAATTTAGAAAACACATCTTGTTTCTCTTCTTCAGTAAAGATAAACAGGGTTTTTTTAGAGTCAGTATCTCAGTTCAGTTTAAATGGGTTACAGGGTAGGCAGAACTGAAGGTCATGTTGCAGTGAGCTCACAGACAGTGGCTGCCCATTTTGAACTATGTAAGTTCATTAAAGCTCCTACTATATTCACCCATCAGAGCAAAGTGCAACTGTAAGTAGTATTTCATTTATTAGCTATGTTTATTGGAATGGAAAC